TTACTGTGCTATCTAGCATGATAGATCCTGATTACCAAGGGGAAATTGGGTTGGCTTTACATAATGGAGGTAAAGACGAGTATGTCTGGAATACAGGAGATTCTTTAGGACATCTTTTAGTACTACCATGCCCTGTGATTAAAGTCAATGGAAAATTACAGCAACCCAATTCTGATATGACTGCTAAGGGCACAGACCCCTCAGGAATGAAGGTTTGGGTCACCCCACCAGGCAAAGAGCCACGACCAGCTGAAGTGCTTGCTGAGGGCAAGGGAAATACAGAATGGGTGGTGGAAGAAGGTGGTTCTGAATATCAGCTACGACCACGTGACCAGCTGCAGAAACGAGGACTGTGATTGTTATATTTCTTCATTGTATATGTGCATCAAATATTTTTGTTTCCTTCTGTTATAAGCTATGAAATGTAAATAAGGTTAATGCATTTTGGTTGTATGTGTGTTAATGTATCATGTTAAGCACAAATATGACTCTGTAATTGTCCTTATTTAGAGATTATATATGGTTAAGAAGATGTGTACAACTGCCAAGTTGACAAGGGATGGACTGTGATAGTTGGAGCTGTGTGTCAACTTGGCTGGACCCCAGTTCTGTGTGGTTGTTCCCATGATGGGATCAGATGACTGTGTTCTGAGTGGCCAGTCTGCCCAAGGGGAGTTTCCCTAGGGGTGTGGCCTGCTTCCAAGATATCCAGGGACATCCTGGGAAGAGCCACATTCTTTGAGGGATTGGAACTACAGTCCTGGTGTGCGGACTACAGACTTCCGTGAGTGAGCGGCCCACCGCTCGGCTTGGAGATCTTGGATTCGTCTTTTGTTGGAGTCAACAACCAGTGTACTGCCTGCCAGCCTTGAATTTCTTGGCCCCCTGTGCTTACGGAAGCTAAGGCTGCCGCCAGCCCGTTTCCTCCAGAGACTTGGACTTGGTGGCTTCTATACGCTTGTGAGCCATTTTCCTAAGATAAATTTTTTTTCTCTCTCTCGCTATATATACGCTTTGCTGGCTTTTGTGTTTCTCTAGAGAACCCAATCTAACACATTGGACTTAAAGCCTCCAAATTATAAGAATAAACTCCTGTTTGTTGAGGCCATCCCATTTGTGGTATATTTCTTGTCAAAGCGGTACTAGGGAACCAGAACACTAATCTATATCCCCTCCCAGTAAAAGACCATAATCATAAGTCTAACAGCTTCTGAGTCCTTCTGATACATCACTGAGTCTGAAGGTGGTCTTGGGGACTCCCAACATATGGTTTTCTTTGTATTTATCCCAGTAATTATATGCTGAGCTTCTGTATAAGTTTTCCATCCAATTTGGGAACTTTCTGGCCAGTTAATCTTCAAAAATGTTTATTCTCCTTCTTGGACTCTAACTGCACAGGTGAGACCTTTTGATATTGTCCCACAGGTCCCTAAGGCTCTCTGAATGTATGTGTATAATTCTCTTCTTCAGAATAAATAGTTTTCTGTTATCAGTCAGGTCCACAGACACCCTCTGTCATCTCCATTCTGCTGTTAAGGCCACCCACTGAATTCTACTTTCAAGCTATTTTATTTTACAGTTCTTACATGCCCATTTGGCTCTTTTTTATTTCTATTTCTCAGCTGAGGTTTCCTTTCTTTTCATTTAACGCAAGTATATTTTCTTTTATTTCACTCAGCCACAATACTAGCTGCTTTAAAAATTCCTCTTTCACAGAAGAGGAAACTACAAGGAGGAAGTGGGAAAAGAGCTGTTACACTGTGGGGAATTGCAGCCAATGTCATGAAACAAAATGTGTATGAACTGCTGTATGGAAAATGAATTTGCTCTGTAAACGTTCACCCAAATCACAATAAACTTAGGTTTCTACTGACTGTCTTTTTCCTTTCTGCAGATTAGCTCATATTTTCTGGGCTCTTAAAATGCTGTTTAGTTTTCTATTTTATTCCAGACAGTATAAATATGATGCTGCTGCTCAGACTAGACTCTGGACTCTGTTACACTCCTCCAAAGAATATCAATATTTCTGTTTTAGTATGCAATTACATTTAGTAGGGCCATCACAATTAAATACTATAAAAAACAAAAACAAACAAACAAACAAAACTTGGTTGGACAGAAGCTGCAAACTCTTGTTTCCTGGGCAGCTGGTCAAATCTGTTAGTGAGGCTGCTTTCAGTCCGCCCTGCACATCAAACAGAGGCCTGGGCAGAGTTTATCACACTAAATGTTAGGCTCGCTCTCTCTGGATTTTTCCTCCCAGGGTTCCGCTTCCCTTCACGTTCCTGTGGCTGACTGGCTGTGGTGACTTGGACTCTTGTCCTCTGGCTCTTCAGACCAGGCCGTAAGTTTCTTACCAAATTTTACCCCACTGGCCTGGTGTCAACTTCAGCCTGTCCTTCGGGTAAACACAGTACAAGTAGGAAATTAATTTCATGCTGTCTTCTAACCCTTTTCTGAATCTGCCTGCTTCTGCTCACTTTCCAGTGCCTTCAGGTCTTTGTTAATTACATGCAGGAAGGTGAGGTCCAGTAAGAGCCTACTTGGCCATACCAAAAGCACAATCACTGTGATCTTGTTTTTTGAAATTTATTTTATATTCACTGTGTGTGTACAGATTCATTTTTAACAATACTAAAATAGGGCTGCTTCTTCTATCTGGTTTTATAATTCATTTTTTCCCCATTTTAAGTATTCATCATGTAACAAAAGCTGTTAGGTGTTAACTGTTAGGTGTTCAACATACAAAATTATAAAAACGTTCACGTTAACAGCAGACACTCTTAACTGGGAGAATAAATTGACAGTAACTAGAAAAAACGATAATGCACATGCCTAGAAGTGAAATCGCTAAACAGTGGCACACGGACCCTAGAAAACTTTACACACATGTAAAACTAGGCAAGTACAAGGATGTGAACCTCAAGCCCTGTCTGTAACAGGAAAAGCAGAGAATAAACAATCCTCATCAAAAGAGATGACACAACAGAAATCAAATGATACAAAAGAAATCATATAACAGACTACTATGTGGCTTTTAAAAAACTATTTCACTATTTCATTAGGAGTTTTAAAACCTAAGGCTAAATGAGGAACAGTTACATAACAAACATGATAATATTAACAAAAGGTTAAAAACACAAAACACCACTATATACAATCATGCACAGGTGCATGCACACGCCAATGTGCACATGCAGGCGTGTGCGCACATCCACATGTAATAAACCGGAAGGATGCATCAAACCCATGTTGGTGGCTGCCTCTGGGGAACAGGAGAAGGGAGGAAGTCAGGTGGTAATCAAGGGTATTTCACAGTTCAGTTTGAAAGCCAATACAACCACCAATTATAACAATCACAGAAGTTACTACATATAGAAATAATGGGTATATGTCTTTGTACTTTCTGTATTACTGCATTTCTTAAAAAACAAACAAAACTCCCTTCTTTAATAATTTCAATGGCAGCACAGTATTCTACTGTACAGATATGTTGTTATAACCGATTTCCAACTGTTAGGACACAGAGACTGTACCCAATTTTGTCACTAACATAAACAGTGCCACAATGATTCTCTTCGTAACTATTTTTTAACTTAAATTACTTTTTGCTTAGGATAAATTTTTTAAACTATATTGCTAATTTTAGGCCTTTGTTACCTATCCTTAAACTACTTTCTACAAAGACAGTGGGTTTGGTTTTTTGGTTTTTGTTTGTTCGTTCACCTTATTTATAAGCCTATAAAGCAGGGCAACATGATTACTATAACCATATGAAGAAAGGAAGTGCTGGACAAGTCACGCTAGTTGTCTAAGGTCCCACTAAAGCAGGGATTTTCCAGAATTAAATACCAGCGTCCTTGCAGCCCAGAGTTCTATATGCAGCACACTCAGAAGACCTACCTGTGATAATTACGATGCACTCAGGAAGAAACCAAAATGAAATCAGAGAACCATGCTTCTGAAATGCTACTACAGACCATCTACTTCAAATTCCCACTTTACGGACAAGAAAACTGAGGCCCCAAGTAGGTCATGGAACTTCCTTCACTGATAATTATAAGCAATTAATCCACTCAGCAAATAATTATCCAGTATCTCCCATGTGCCAGGCCCTGTACTAGTGCGAAAAACTGACTGAATATTTGCCGTGTGTTAGGCACTACCACACTACCTGCATTTTCACATTAATTCCCACAATACCAAAGTATAAGCATTGCCTCCATTTTACAGATTCAAAATGGGAAGATTATTTGTCCATAGTCTTCAGTAAAGGAAATGCTTTTATCAAAAGTAAATGGTATAATCTAACTTACAAGTTTATCCTAAACTCGCATTTTTATTTTAAACATTACAGTTCCATGTATGATTTCATTCGAAAAAAGGGATCCACTGTCAAAAACATCTGAAAACCAGTTTCTATTAGCACCGACATTAGGTGCGGAGTTTGGTGTTAGATTAGAGGTGGGGATCCTTTCGGGGGGCTTTAAACACCTCCAGAAAAGACATCATTTGAAGTAAGTGAACTGAAAGACAACTGCTAGGCAAGTGGTCAGTCAAGTAAACAGAAGACAAAGGACAGGGCTTCTAGTACCTCAAGAATATAAAGCAAGATGCAAAGTGGAAGACTGCAGGAATTCTCCTAAGTATTACTCACAAAACACTACAGTACTGGTTACCTACTTCTACAGCATAAAATCTCTGTGGTATGCGATCAAATTAATTAAAAGTTCCATTTACTTCTTCCCCAGCAGGAATTCTTTTATCTTTGCTAGACAGATTCCACAAGGCTCACATCGAAAAAGCCAAGTGCTAAGCAGTGCTACGATCACAGAGATTTAAAAATAAGCTTTCTAAATCTTGTCCCCACCACACAGTGTGTTTTCACTGGAGCTATAATTTCCTAAATATACATCACAAACTAAGAAAAATCCTACTCTGATCAGCAATCAGTCACAGCAGAACTAACCACATGCACTATTTCTAACAGAAACGGTTACCTGAGAAGTTTGCCAGAAGTCCTGCTAGGACAAGCTTGTTTGCCAGTTCAGTCTTGCTAAGGCTGGAAATCACATCTACCCCAGTAGTTTCTCTGACAACGGCAGGCTGTTCGGAATTCCCAAGATCAGGTTCTGTCTTGTCATTCGTATGTTCTAGGATGTCACACGATCTCTGTGGCTGAGAAGGTTCTGGAATAAACGTGAACGTTTGCTTGGGTACTTGCACGGAAGGAGACTCCACTTTATTCTGTGCAGAAGCGGACTCCTTGACCTGTCTCTCACCTAATTCCTTAAGGGCTCTGATTGTCAGCTGTTCCTGTTCTAAGTCAAGAGATGCCGCTGGAGAACCTTGCATAGGGAAAAAGGGACGCTCGCTTCCATGGGTTTCTTTGCTTTGTTCAGTGAATTTGCTTCTGATGCCTTTAACTTCAGAACTACCAGCTTCACTTTCATGTAAGACTTCTACCGGAAGGGCTGTTCGGAGGTCTGTCTGCTCTGGTATTGCCTCAAAGGCACCTCCTCCATCTTTAACCACTAGACCTTTCTCACTGGTTTCTGTAAAGGCTGCTATCAGGTCTTCTGGGGAGGAGTCGTCTGTGTCTTTAACAACACTTTTCCCACATGACGTATCCAAACGGACAGGAGCTGCCACCCTGAGCGAGCACTCTGCCTTGTTACCCTGGGATGCGACCGGCTCTCCCGGAGCAGCTTCTCTCAGACCACCGGACTGCGCCACGCCTCCCAGGGCCACGTTCACACCAGCCAGCTGCGCACCAGCCACCTCACCAGCTGGACGCCCTCCAAGCCTATCAGGATGAACTTGTGCTGGCTCTGCGTCACTGGTGGACTCTTCAAGGTTTTCACGTGTTTTGTTTTCTCTGTTACAATTGGGAATGTCTTTGATTTCTCTTTCATTTGTGTTTACAGTAGCACTTGGACTGGAAACAGGCTTTTCAGCATCAATTTTGTTACTTTCAAATGACTTATCTGCTGTGATGTCCTCTATTACTGTGTCATCAGATTCACCAGAGCTATCAGCCTCTGTCATTTCTCCCAACACAGAGTTCTGCCAGTTCATTTCATCTTTCAGGTGGTCATCAGGCAGAGCCATTTTCATTGTGGCCACTCCAGAGTCCAAAGACACACATTTCTGCAACTGAGATCCAGGTAAGTCTGAGAGCGTGTCACCTCGTTTCTGCACCCTGTCCTGTGTGTCTGTCATGCTGCCTCCCTCCAGGGAGTCAGGAGAGTCCGCATCGGCTTTGTCTTGTGGGAAAGGGGCTTCTGCCCAATCACCTGCTGACTTAGTGATGGGACTGTTCCCATTAACAGAACATATGGAAATTTTCTGACAAGCATTAGTTTTAAGATTTACAACTGGGATTTCTGAATTACGGTCTCCCATGTCAAGTCCTGCAGTTTTGGTCACGTAGTCTTGTTTCACTTGGGGAACTAAATCCCAAGTTAGTATTTCATTAGTGAAGTTGTGCATGTCACTCACACATCTAGACACCTCTTCCAGAGCTGCAGTCGTGTGTGAAAACTGCCGAGTGAGCAGAGCAGAGGCTGGGTAGCGCCCTCCTTCCTTACTTCTCAGTGGAAACACTTTGTCATCAGTCTCGCTAAGGTCTGCAGCAGATTCGCCATCAGGGGGTGTTGTCCAGCTACCAAAATCATTTGTGCCCGCCTCATACGAGTCCTTAAACTCTCTGTCAAACGCTGCTTTGTCAATGATTACTTCAAACGGTGATTCGGGGGAATCTTTTTCAACAGTACCACCTCCCAAAACTTTGGTTGGGGATATGGAATAGGTACAAATGTCTTCTGCCTTAGCTGGCTGGGTGGGTGGTTTCTGGGCTGTTAGCAAAGTGAACCTGCCCTCAGCATCCACGGCAGCTTTAGCATCCCTACCTGGGACCTCGGTAGGGTTCCTGGACTCTTGGTCTTTACGTATTTCCATTGGATCAACCTCCTTTGAGAGAGGAGCCGGGTGCTCTGGGAAACTGGTTGGAATGGAAGGGCGGTTCCAAGGAGCTCCTGCTTCCACAGACACTGGAGAGGTGGCCACAGCCTTCCCTGGGTCCTGAGGCTTCTCCATCTTTGTTGCATCTTGAAGAGTTGTACAGTCTTTTCCTTCTTGGGCTACAACAGGTTGGCTGCCTAACATTTGGTTTTTTCCTCCATGTAGTGCTGTAAAGGCAGTGTTACAGATTTCAGAAGCTGCAATAAAGGAGGAAGTCATAATTTCTGAAGGTGCCACATCAGAGCAAAGAGAGCTAAATGTCTCTAAGGTCAGCATTTGAAAGAAAAAAAGAAGTTTACCAGGTACCGTTACACATTAGCTAGTCAGGCCAAGCAGCATGCTTTTATTTTTAAATTATATATACACACAGGGTGTATATATACATACACAGAAATATGTAACAAAACAACAAGCAACAGCTACAAGACACACATAAAACTGCCAACAGTGAAACAGAAAAGCCATTATCATGCTACAAATTGCAAATGACAAAAATTTTTCATGACAAATACTTTTCACTCAGTATACATTTTCACTGTAAAGGTAAAGCTTAAAGAAAGGGAATGACATTGGGAGATGTGGGGAAGGAAAGTTTTGCTTCTGCAGAAGCAATATGATCCATACAAAACAGACCACTTGATATCATGAAGCACCGGTACACTTCATCTGCAAATGCAAAGATTCAGAACACATAGCCTCCATTAATCCTCTGTCACAGGCTGACATAATCTGAGAAGAAAAGAAACAAAAGCCAAAACAAAAAACCAATGGCCAGAGTTCTTTTTAATCTCCAGAAGGCAGACAGGGCCTTTCTGGAGCCTGGACACGTGACTAGAAGCATTATTCTACTCTGTCCACAGGGATGATCCATCTATGTACAGCTGGCTTCAATGTCATAAAGGGCACAAAAAAGGCTGGTCTGCTCCAAAATGTCTCACAACAACCTTTTGTTTTAACACAAATTGAACCATGCAAATCGGTTTCTTTGGTTAAAACAGAATTAACATCAGAAACCCTTTACAAATATACAGCATCCTTCAAAGTAACCCATTAACTCAGCCTTATCAGTTATTAATGCCATAGTAGCCATTCATTTACCACAGTGTTTTCAAACTAGCAAGTTTTGACTGGGGCAGAAGATCAAAAGCACCACCCTGAAGGTGGGCACTGTCTTTCCTGCATGTGGTAGCTCTGAAGTCTGGGACCAAGTAGGTCTTAAACACAGTTCCAAATCAATGAAGCAAACCCTCGGCTTGGCCAGGTGGGTCCTCGGAAGATTCAGGGCTGTAATACCTGAGGATGAGGGAGCACTGGGGAAGACCTGAAAGAGAAATCCCCTGGAACTCCCTTTAATCAGCTTCTGTTCTTCTGGTGAGAAGCTGAACAATACTCACATTGGACAAAAGCAAAATTATGACTTCATTAAAATTCATTCAATAAAGAGGAAACAAAATGAGAGGTCAGTATCTTACTGCAATAAAAAAAAATTCCATTATTATAAAAACGTTTCCAGATACCAGACAAAGTTCCATTTTAACGCATCACTGATATCTGATGCACCGGGATATGCCCTTCAGAAGAGTGTAATTATATCTGGGTGCTGGGAAAAAGTCTTTGTAAACTAAAGGGAAATAACTGAAAGTCTGGTGGTACAAACTACTCCTTGGATAGGAAATACCTGCAATCAGCTATCATTCATATTTAGTTCTAGCAAAGTAAACCTGTTTCACAGCCATCATGATGTAATGTGGCTACTCATACTCAGCTCGACTGAATTAAGGGTACAATACAAACGAAGCCCAGTGGTTTAAGAAAAAGGCTTAATACAGCCATCTAGATGCAATGATGGGTCTCTCCTCATCCAGAGCAAAGAAGAATGAAGAAAACCAAAGATTCATGGAAACAATTAGTCCTCATGACTGGTACACCATGAGATCTGCGGCCTATACAACTATGAGACCAGAAGAACTAGACGGTGCCCACCTACCACTGTCAACCACTCAGAGGGGGATCTATGTAGGAGATCCTGGATTGAGAGGGAGAACAATGTGGAACAAAACTCAAAATCATTTGGCGGGGTGAGGGGGACCAGGTTTGCTGGTCTGATAGAACCTAGTGGAATCACTGAGACTATGGCCCCTAGCTGCCCTTCAGGTGTAGAAATGAACCCACACCTGTTGCTTCCATCCAAACAAAAGACAGGTATAGGAGTTGAACATTTACCTGAGGTAGATACACTCCTTGGAAAGAACAATCATGGGAGAAAAATGGACTGTTTATGCACAGGGAAGAGGTAACTATCGGGAGGAAGTGGGAGTGGAGCTGTTGTAATGGGGTAAATAGTAGTCAATGTCATGAGACAACATGTGTGTGAACTGCTGTATGGAAAGTGAATTTACTCTGTAAACTTTCACCCAAATCACACACACACACACACACAAAGGCTTACAAGCTGGAAGTTTGTTGTTGTTGTTATGTGCCATCGAGTCGGTCCCGACTCATAGCGACCCGTCCTTGGGTTTCTGAGGCAGTATCACTACGGAAGTAGATTGCCCCATCTTCCTTCCAAGGAGTGGCTGGTGGGTTTGAATCGCCAGCCTTCTGGTTAGCAGTCAAGTGCCTTAGGCACCAAAGCTCCCAACAAGCTGGAAGTTTAAAGTACTATAAATACACAGCCACATTTAAGTCAGAAATAACCCCTAGTCTGAGCTATGTATTATTACTGAACTATCGGTCACTGTTTCTATCAGGAAACATTCAATGGGCAAGATTTGGGTTAAAGTTTGGGAACCCCTCCTTCCAACCTAGAAGAGAACTCTGAGGTGAGCAAGCTGACTCCATACCGTAGGGAACCATCAGCCTGTATGCTTTACAGAGACAGACTGTAGATGACTGAGACCTGTCATCTTATAAACCAAAGGCAAGGAAATGATTAGTAAGAGTTTAACAAATATTTACTGAGTGCCTACCATGTGCCAGACACTGAGAAACTGAGCTTAAAAAAGCAAGGAACAAAACAGAAAAAAAAATCTTTGCCTTTATGGAGCTTACAACAGAAGAAAAGAGAGATAATAAGCAAAAACTAATAAGGAAACTATGATGATGATAAAATAAAAAAGGAAAGAAACCTAAAGAGGAAACCCAACGAATCCTAATTAAAGAATGCACACAGTACTTTAAAAAAAAGGCCAACTGCTCTATGCTTTACCAGGAGGAAATAAACTTGTCACTTGACCAAGTTTTGCTTCTTTCCTATCTTCCATGAACTCGTGGTGCTCCCAAAGCCTCCAGACAGGTGCATGATAACGGGGTGAAGTCCTGCTCTCAGTCCCAACAAGGCCTGAGACTTCAAACATTTTATTCAAGATTCTTTAATATCACACACACGCCACATACACCAAAATAACTTTGATCACGCTCCCTAATAACCATTTCTAACCTAATGTTTGTTTTGCAGTGGACAGTGTGTTCCTTGGTGCAACCTCAGACAGCAAGCTGCCTCTTCTGCTTCCTCCCCAGCCGTGAGATGGAGATGCAGGTTATCTGAGGAGCTTACATCCACCAAGCTCTCTCAGTCACAGGAAAGTAAGTTAGCACCCTCATTAATGCTTGCATTTTAATTATCTTATTTAAAATTTCAGCAAATGAAAAGAAATTTCTTTGGCTAGTTGAAACCCTAACAAATCTGCAAAGAGGTGACTTGTACTGAGGCAATGGAAAAAACTGGGCCGAGTTCATAAATGCATGAAAACATTAAATACAACAAGGTCCAGACTCTTATAAGGCTTTTAGCACAGCTCCCATAAACTCTTCTGAGGAGCCTAGAAAAACGGCAGAGGCTCCAGGGAGCTAGAGGGTTCCTAGTTTTTAAGATACTGAACATTGTAAAACTGCCTGGTGGAATAACTCTAGATTATCTTAAACCTCAGGAAATGTCTATCTGTCCTTTTCCAAAAAAGCTATCCCTCTATCCCTTTACAGTGCACTCCAAAAGACTTTCAACACTGCCCGAAACAAATCCCTACCAGAAATCTCATTAAGAACATTTTCCAAATTAGTTATTTGATATAATGGGATTTAATGTGCATATAGTGGCTAAGACACTTGCCTGCTAACCAGACGGCTGGCGGTTCAAATCCACCAGCCACTCCTCGGAAGGAAGGTTGGGCAATCCTACTTCCGTAGTGATACTGCCTCGGAAACCCAAGAAGGGGTCGCTATGAGTCGGGGCTGACTCGACGGCACATAACAACAACAACAACAATTCATTTTCAAGAAAGTTCTACTCACTTAAAAATATGGAAACACTCTAATTACCATCAAGTTATACATCTAACATCTAAATCCACTCACAGCCACACTATAGGACGAGGACTGTTCTGTACGGTTGGGGGCTGTAAATCTTTATGGGAGCAGACTACCACTTCTTTCTCCTGCAGAGCAGCTAGTGGGTTAGAACTGCCAACCTTCCATTCGCAGCCAAGCACTTACCCACTGTACCACCAGGACAGCTGTACACATCTAAGAGATGTGTTGAAAAGGGAAGCAATATATGGTGAGAGGTGAATGAAAATGTCATAACCACACAATGACTGCGAGCCTGTCCCTAAACTTCTTAAGTACTAAGCTCCACGCTTCCCCTATCTTCTTAAATTGAAATATTTCCGTCTCCATTTAGGTACGTTATCAGGAAATTAAGTTGGCAGTCCTATTCTAAATTTCTAGACCACTCTCTCAAATCTGAACTTCTTGAAAGATACAAAAAAAAAAAAAAAAAAAAAAAAGGATACAAAATCTTTTTATCATATTTACTAATTATATGTTTATTTGAACAAGTGGATTAATCCCATCTGAAAATTTGGGATACTAACGCAGCCAACTTAGGAGTGCTGTGAGGATTAAGAGAATTAGTACATGTAAAGTGTGCAGTATTTGGCACTTAGCAAATGTTCAATTAAAAAAAAAAACAAAGTCACTGCTATTGAGTCAATTCTGACTCACCGACTCATGGCGAGTTTCCAAGGAGGTAAATCTTTACAGAAGTAGACTGCCCCATTTTCCTTCCATGAAGCAGTTCATGAGTTTGAACCACTAACCTTCTGGTTAACAGCCAAATGCCTTAGGCATTGTGCCACCAGAGCTCCAAATGTTCAATAAATGTTCCCAAACACCTTATTCTCAAATAATCTCTGATATAAATGCAGACCCCAGACTGTATACCTTTTTCTGAGTGTGAGAAGAAAAGCGTATCGTTGACTCATGA